TCCTCGCAGCATATCACCCTAGGCTCTGCATGCAGCAGCAGCAGCAGCAGCAGCAGCAGCAGCAGCAGCAGCAGCAGCAGCGGCAGCAACATTTATAATATTCTGTGGCTTCATATTTTTACGTATCCGCTGCCTCGCCAAGCAGCAGCATTGATAACAACAGCAGCAGCACTTGCTGCTGAACTCGAGTCATCTGCTGCAGCAGCAGCAGCAGCAGCAGCAGCAGCAGCAGCAGCAGATGTAGCAGATGCAGCAGCAGCAGCAGATGTAGCAGCAGCAGTAGCACCCTAGTTAGTAGTACCGCATGCAGCAGCAAAGCCTGCAGCAGCAACAGCAACAGTGGCAGCAGCCTTTATATAGGGTTTGGCCGTAGCAGCAGCAGCAGCAGCAGCAGCAGCAGCAGCAGCAGAAGTAACAGCGGGAACAGCAGCAGTAGCAGCAGCAGTAGCAGCAGCAGCAGTAGCAGCAGCAGCAGCAGCAGCAGCAGCAACAGCAGCAGCAACGATATGGACCGGGGTGCCAGCACTGGTGGCAGCTCGGGAGCTGAGACTGAAGCAGCAGCAGCAGCAGCAGCAGCAGCAGCAGCAGGAGAAGTACCAGTAGCAGCAGGGGCGGTAACCAGGGCTTCGAGCAGCAAGCGAAGAGATACAGCAGCAGCAGCAGCAGCAGCAGCAGCAGCAGCTCCCGTTGCTGCTGCTGCATCTGTTGACCTGAGAGCAACAGATATGTCTCCGCGGGCAGCAGCAAAGACAACCCCAAGGCGCCGCCGTCCTCTCCGCAGCAGCAGCAGCAGCAGCAGCAACAGCAGCTGCAGCAGCAGCAGCTGCAGCAGCACAGCAGCAGCAGCAGCACCTGCAGCAGCTGCAGCAGCAGCAGCAGACCCCAGGGAACCTCTAGCAGCAAAGACATCTCGCCACGGTGCTGCCACCGCAGCAGCAGCAGCAGCAGCAGCAGCAGCAGCAACGACAGCGGGAGCAGCAGCACTTGCACCCCAGCTCTGCAACAGAACAGCACGAACACGACAGCAACACCAGCAGCAGCAGCAGCAGCAGCAGCAGCAGCAGCAGCAGCAGCAGCAGCAGCAGCAAGAAGTTGACTCTACTGAGGGGGTTTACTGCGCGCTGCTGTCGGGCGCCGAGGACCCTGCTGCTTCTCCTCTGTCTTGTATAGAAGCAGCAAAGCAGCAGCAGCAGCAGCAGCAGCAGCAGCAGCAGCAGCGGGCTGCTGCAGCAGCAGATGCAGAAGCTACTGCTCCACCGCCTGCAGCAGCACCTGCTGCTGCTGCTGCTGCAGCAGCAGCAGCAAGGAGACACAGCGTCGCTCAGCACCTGCCAGTGAAGGATACGGAGACT